CACAATGCATTTTATTATAAGAACAGCTAACAATACAGTGTATTTTAGTATTAAGAACAGCTAACAATACAGTGTATTTTAGTATTAAGAATAGCTAACAATACAGTGTTAGGAACGGGAACACTCTTAAAAACATGTTTTTTATACTTGTGGATTGGTTAATTTTTTTTTAATATTTTTACGTATATACGCAGAATTTTTCCCTCCTACGGGAACGACACGGTCTGTAAATAATCGAGTTGCTGTTTCCTATCAGGAGTTAGACTGTTAGAGGATTCTTAACATTGTTGACCTGCCAACAAAACTATTTATACGTCACGTGGTTCAGGCATCAGTGCGTTTGAGTATACGCGTCAAAAAATATGATTTTCATATCGACCCACGTTACTCGCGCGTGTTTTGATATCGAAAAGCATCATGAAAGGACGTCCACGTTTTACCGAAACAATTTTAAACACCATTGTCGTTTCGGCCTAGAATATAGAATTCCTGTATCCTAAAGTGCTCATGTGACAAACTTATTTAAATGTGGATAACGGTAAGATATTTCCTCAGGAGTATTTACATGAACGCGTGAATAAATTATTTAAAAAATAAATTCTTAACTGATAACAAAACAAAAGAAATTAGGAGTTATATAAACTAAAGACATAACAATGAAAACGTGTGTGTGTGTGTCTATTGAGTCTGTGCAAGTAATGCTATGGTATTTCCCGCATTCACGATAACATTTGAAATAATTTTATGGAGTCAGTATGTTTATATATTTTTCCTTTACTACGCGAAGTTAGATATTTATGCAGAGACAACAAAAACAAAAGCACGTTTAATATTTAAATCATATCAACATTTTTTCGCTTTAAGTTTATAAAAAAAAATAGATTCATTTTCGATGGTTTATTGTTTTTATGTGTTTTTTTGGATTAATGTCAGTTACTAGGTGAAAATCAATGATACGATACTGTAACGTATTTACTGTGTTAAATAATTTTGTTGTCATCCTTAAAGGTTTTAATTAGTCGTGATGTGTATGTCATATATCATTAAGATCACTGCATTAGAAACAGTTGTTCTTGATTTATTAGCCGCGGCTCATAGAAAGGCTCTGAGCTTGTTGTTCGTTTTTTCAAGTACAAACTTTTAGCTCATAGCTCCTTCATCCCTCGATCGATTTAAGATCTAATTACAGTTTTGGACTAAGGGGATCAAACCCCTTCGATTGAGGTATTTGACCGCGCTCAAGATCTCGTAGATTAATTTACTCCAATCCTGCCTAAAAGAATTTCAATTTGAGGGTAAGCTGGTAGAAATCCTGATGAGTAATAAAATCGAATCGGGTATAATTAAGCGCGCCCCTCGCTTGGTATTGCAGGCACACAAAAATATAGCTCATAAAAAGGGGGAAAAAAAAAAGGTCTCATTGGTTAACTTACTCTAATCCTGCTTAAAAGAATTTCAAGTGCCGCGGCTATTGAGGATTCCCTCTTCTTTCTCTATATCAAGCTTGTGTTTTTTGTTACAGAAATTGAAAAACAACTTCCCTCTGGTGGAAGAACTTCTTTGTGATCTGTTATTTACTGTTTAAAAGGTTTGGTTAGCTTAGTATATTAAAGGCTGGTACATTAATTTTTTTTTTTATAAACTACAATAAAATCTGTATGATGGATAAGAATACATATATATATTAAAAATGTCAATTTTTAAAATATTACTTTTATTTAAAGACTAATGGGTTACGTGGGTAATGTTAAATTCAACTACACTGGTATGCAAGAAAAAAAAATATTTTTGAGACAGTAGTCATCATGGGCATCTGTATGGGGGTGTGACCCCCCCCCCGATTTTTCAATTTTGCATTTCCCTAGTTATATCTTTGATATCATTTTGTCATCCTGCCCCCCTCTCTGTAATATATCCTGTGGATGCCCATGGTTGTAATAGAAACTTTCTTTTATTTATCCTTAAAGATAATTGCTATCTATGAAGAACAAGGATCCCCATTTTTACCCCATAATGGAGGAGATGGTACTAGTGCTAGTTCGATGGGAACGGAAAGTCCAGACATATTCAGATGTAAAGAAAATCCCCATCATAAATTGAAGGAGTTTTACAGTGAAAATGATGTAGTAATCACAGCATGTGATATTTCTTCTGGTAAGGTTTCATCTTTGATATATTTTTTTATAACTTAAGAACCCTCCAGTTTTAAATAAACTTTGGTGATTCTCCATCAGAATTTAATAATGTTCGGAGATGGCTTGAATGGATAATGAAGAATTTGTAAATGAAAGTGCATTTAGTGTTCATTAAAAAAACGGTATTCGATTCCTGCATCATGAAACTTATAAGAAATATAATTGCTTAATACTTGAGAAACAGATTTCACTAAAATGTTGACCAGAATAATTAAATACATATGTGTTACTTTTATTCTAAAAATAATTACTTAGAAGAACTTAATTTTAGGAGAAAAATATAAGTTTTTTGACATCATTAAAGTATCTGTCTTCTGTTATCCCAAATCAACTTTCAACACCAGTAGATAATTTTGGTGAAAAAAAATATTATATCTCAATACAACAATACTTGAGTGAGAGAGTTGAAGAGAACGGATGCCTAATTTATCTTCTCTCTATCCAGTTAAGCTATCTTATGCACACCTTGTAGTTTCATCCAATTGCCTTAAGTGACTTATAATGTTATAATGTTTATTATAGTATTTAATAGTGCATGTGACAATTATGGCTCATAAAATTTACCGAAGATTTCTCAAGTACTTTAGTATTCACTAGAAACTCATTTATTACATGCTTATAATTATGAATGATTTTATAATTTATTTATATCAATGCATAGCTTTGTTTTCCATTTGAAGAAAGTTTAAAAACTGAGGTTACATATTACTTTTGATGGTTCGTCGTTAAAAGTTTTTAAGCTTAATTTATTTTTCCATTTTCTTCACAGTAATAATTTTAAAAGATAGCATGTAGAGATTTGCTTGATTCTCCTGTATGTGTTATTGATGTTAGAAAAATTTACAGCCTGTATAGGTTTTGTCGACAAGGAATATTTACAGAAAAATTTACAGCCTGTATAGGTTTTGTCGACAAGGAATATTTTGCATAGAAATTGCTACATTATTTCATATTAAAACTGCTTATTTACGGTTAATTTTCTACGTAGCGTAATACTTGTACGAATAATAATAAGCAAAGATGATTACATTGTAGGATATGTTTACCTTTGCAGGTTTGACTCCTCTTTATGTGCGTAGAGAAAGTGAACCGGCTCTCAACCGTCTTTTGTCTGATGTATCAAATGTTGATTCAACAAAAAGATGGTCTGCAGCAGTCACTATGGGCACTGAAGCATGTGGGATCTTGAAACCTCTAAAAGTACAGAATTTCTTATTTCTTTTACATCATTACAGTCCTTCATAATCAAGTGTAAATACTACATTTTGCAAATGTTAAGTTTACAAGAAAAATATATTTCATTGCAATTTGAGATGTCTTTGAATGAAACAAAAATTAATCCAGAAAAAGTAACCAGTTGTATGATATCAATCTATTTTAACATGGTTAACATATTTTCTTTCACATATATACAAGTTTATAAAATTTTTTCTTCTATACTGGCATTTATTTTTTTCCATGCCTTATATCTTTGCTTTTATTTTATCGTTTGTTTGTTTGTAATTAAGCACAAAGCTACACAATGGGCTATCTGTGTTCTGCCCACAACGGGTATCGAAACCCGGATTCTAGCATTGTAAGTCCACAGACATTCCGCTGTGCCACTTGGGAGGCTTATTTTATCATACAACGCAAATTGATTGTACTTAATTAATATATATGTAAGTTAGTTATTACTTATAATACTTTCATATTATAAACAACAATATTTTTTGCTCTCAAGTACTTTTCCAATAGATGAAGCACTTAATAAAATATTCTTAGCATAAAATGGATTCAAAAGTGTTAACAGTACTGTCCAAAATTAAATTAAATGTAACTTAGATTTTCCAGTAAACGTCTTCCAGGTTTGTTGTATGTAAATTAGTTGATAAGTTAATTATAACATGAATTAGACTCTTATTACAACCAAAATTAGAGATATTTCCTTAATACTTTCATTATTTCACATATGATTCTGTTATGGTGGACGAAAAAATGTAAGTTTGTGTTGGTCATTTCATTCAAAAATGTAAGAGCTGTTTTTAACTGTGGATTGTTGATAAACAGTTGTATCTCTATAGTAAAATGTTGGGTACACTAAACTACCATTGAAGAAATGTTCTTTGTAATAATTTAATAATGTTCGTAATAAAAAATAAAGTACACTAAAACAGCAACTGACATGAAACAAACTCAACATTACATAATTATAGTATTTTGGCACTTGTGTATAAAGTT